TCTCAACTTTTCCCCTGACTCAAGTTCTTAATCTTAATTTTTGTGTGCGTTACGTATATGTTCATATTTTTATGTGTCCATGTGTGCGCACATACACCTACACGTATGTGTACTGTGTGTGGAGAGCAGAGGTCAGTGTCCCACGTCTTCCACTAACACTCTCTATCTTATCTTTTGAGATTGGGTCTTCGCTGAACCCGGAGTTCAAAGATTTGACCAGGCTAAGTGGCCGGCCTCTGCACTGCTGGGATTAGAGATCTACACCGCCGCATCTTACATGGGTGCTGAGGATCCAAATTCAGTTTCTTCTGCTTCCTCAGCGAATACCCACTGAGCCACTGCCCCAGTGTGTTTCCTTCACCTTTCTTAATCCAACTCCGCCCTCTTGGTGGAACTGGATGCTATAGGAGCCTGTTTTATAACGCAGCCCCTCACTCACCAGCTTTGGGTTGGACACAGAAGAACCAGCCGGCCGGAGGCGGTTTGAAGTGGTTTTGAAGTCTGATAGCTCTTGATAACTGGCCACTGGTTCCCCTTGATCCGTTTCTGATTTGAAGACAGACCACCCCAAGCGTGTAGGCTCTCTTCACCAGCAAAGCCACGTACACATCCTGCTTGAAGGGCACGGGGGTTGAGTATGGAGGGGGCTCTTAAACAGCCCTCCTACCACTGGGGAGAGCTTTATTCTCACTCCTAGCCAGGCCATGCCTGGTCTCCTCATCCAAAAAGAGACTGGCAAAGGGACCCAGCACTTTGTTCACCTTCCCCACTAGTTTTGATTTTATTTTCTCGGTTTAATACTTTTCAGAGATATAGCCCAGCCAACTCTGGGCCATCCACACTCCGTAAAAACTGACTGTTCAGAGACCTGATTTTCCTTCATGTGGACAGGGGAGCGGGTGTATGGGCTAGGCCTCTGGGACTCCTCCTCCAGATGGGACAGAGCAGGGCTCAGTCACAGAGAGATGCACAGCCTCACCATCCATATACAAGGGGCACAGTGTGATCCAGTCAGGCTTTCTTGGCACCACTGGGACCCAAAGTCAGCTCAGGGTCCTGTGGTTTCCAATCCTGCTCTCCCCTAAAATTCTAGCCCTCGTCTGCATTAGAGCAAGTCAGGGCTGCCAGAGACTGGAGAGGAGGAAACGGGGCCAGAGGAGGCCAACCCTGTGATGCACAGGAGGTGATGTCCGGCCCCAAGCCCAGCCTTCATCTCCCATCCCACCTGCCTGCCACCCCTTCCTGCTCCCAGATCTGCCATGCTCAGCGGCCCAGCTCCAAGCACAGGCCCTGGGCCTAGTATCCCATTAGCAGTCTCCTGCCCAGATCTCAGGTGTACAAGAAATAAGTCAGCTAATTTGGCTTTGCAATCCTTAAATGACCAATGTTCTCAAACACCATCCTTCTGAGAAACCTCTGCCCACACCTAAGGAACAGTAAGAGTCCAGGTTCCCAGGTAAAATGATCTGGACACTGGTGCCCACACAGACTCTGTGGCCACTGAGGCTCAGGTCCGGGATTGGAACCCTTGACCAAGCGAGGCAGACTCCAGACTCTCTCCTTTTTCTCCTTCTTCCAGTGACTCAGTGGGAGTCACTGTCCCCTGTGGGGTAGAGATGACACTGTGCTGCTGAGCGGGTCACCCCATTAGCTGCTGGTAGGTCCAGTGTGTTACCATGAGAAGGGACGGGCTGGCACTGCACACAGGCACTGTGCCGCCAGAGTCATTGTAACAAGCCCGGAGGAGCCTCCTGGGCCACTAAGGCACTCGTGCTCTTTCTGGGAGCCTGTGCTAGACATGAACTAAGTTCATCAGCATTACCAGAAAACTTTTTGGCATGCATCAGTATGGCTGGACTTTAACTCTGCAGTTGTACATAGGCAGGCTTCCATACAATACAATGTAATGTCACAGACAGTCCCCATCATGCATGCGGAGCACCAGGTGGCAAAGACTAGATCACCAGTGCCCCTGATGTGTCAAGAAGCACTCTTTATGTTGCTAGACATAGATGATAGGGCCAGTGCTTGGAGCTGGGCAGCTTGGCATAGGCAGATCTGGGAGCAGGAAGGGGTTGTGGACAGGTAGAACGGGAGTTGAAAGCTGGGCTTGGGGTCCAATGGGACATTGTCTGTTGTGCATCATAGGCTTAGCAACCTCTGGTCCCATTCCCCATCTCCACTCCCTGGCAGCCCTGACTTACTGTGATGCAGCTGATGATTGACCTATGTTCCCTCACCCTGGGTCCTTGAGGAACTTCTTCAAGAAGCTAGATTACCGACTGGGGACATGGCGCAGTTTACCAACTTGCGCTTCCTGTGCAAGCATGAGGATCTGAATTCCATCCTCAGAACTCATATTTTTACAAAGCCAAGTGTGGTGCCGTGCCTGTAATCCCAGTGCTGGGGAAACAGAAACGGGTGGATCCCTGGGCTTTTCACTGACTAGCCTAGCCTGCCCAGTGAGCTCCGGGCCAATGACAGACAATGCCTCGACAGTCAAAGTGGATGGTTCCTGAGGAACAACATGGACCTCTGGCCACCAAATACATGTGCACACAGTTGCACCCACACACAAAACAAGCTAGCATGTTCTAGCAAACTGCTCTGATCTTCAGTCCCTCCTTACTCTTGTATGGAATAGGACAGAAACGAGCCACTGATCCTGTTTCAACTTCAAGGACAACTTGAGTTGTGTGAGTTGTGTCTGCCCTCACCTTCCACCACTTTCCCCCTCCAGGCCCACCTTTCTCTGCCCTTAAATTTCCCATTTCTATAAGACTATGAATCCTGTTCAATGCAGGACCCTGATGGTCTCCTCTAAATGCATCGTCACTGACCCTCACGTGCTGAGCTACAGGGCGTATGTAATGTCGTCACCACACTGATTGTGTGAGGACGCGATCCCACCCACAGTGCGTTCCATGCTTTTATTTCCGTTGTTCTGTGAGTCCCGGCCCTACTCGTGTCCTCAAATACCTTTGCTTCTGCTGCTTCCTTCCTCTTCCTTCTGGAAGATCTGGTATTTATACTGGGAAGCCAGAACTCTCTGTTCCCTGAATGAGTGGATGGGAAGGGATAACAGGCTCCCATACTGGGTAGTCATAAAACACCGTGACATGCTTTCAGGGTGAGCCTCATAACTTGGCGAGCAGCCCAGGATAGTTGGATCCTTCTCTCTATCAGAACCAACACCCACTAATTCAATTTAATATAATTTGTTTAAATAGAATCTGCTAGGATCCAGAAAATATGGTCTGTCTGGATATTAATATGGATTTACATAAGCAGAAAGATTGAGGTCACTTTCACAGCCCTCTAATGTCATGTTTACTGGCAGCAAGCGCTGGATTTAGCGGTTGCTTCGGGGTCTCTTTCTCTTCTAGTGGAAGCTAAATTAACCGTTCTGCTGTTTATTATCTGCACGTTAAAAAGCACCGGCATCTATAGCCCAAATGGAAGCCTCTATCACTCACTATGCCAACCAGTACCATCGTCCTTGCCAAGGACTCCTCTCTTTCTTTCCCATGCCAAGGATGTGGAAGGCCGCCCTTCACAGACAGCAGCTCGTCTGAATTTTTAGCTCTGGTTTTCCTTGCATTCGAAAATGCCTATTAGTGTTCAATGTCCTCAGTATTTCACACACAGGAGTGTGCGTGTTGTATCCATTACACACACACACACACACACACACACACACACACACACACACACACACGCACGCGCACACACACAGAGCTCTGCGAAGTCAGTATTTGCTGAAGAAAGAAAAAGCATCTGGGAGAAAAGTCAAGACACTGTGCTCCATTCAAGGAATATTTTCCCTGCAGATTCAGAAACAAATCACAGGGACCATAGCTATATATAAAGAGCCATCCTCGTGACAAATGGAGACAGCCAAACTCATTTTCTTGGTGACCTTATCTAAATGAGTTAGAAAATAACACTTCAGATTTATGGCTAGTTACAATTAAGCCCTTTGATATCTTCTAATTAAACCTGTAGAGATTTATTTCTGTATTATTCCTTTGGTAACCCTTTAAAAATGATAAAAATGTAAATGAATATTATCCTCAAAAGGAGATGTTTCTATTTATCTTAAATTAGACTCTTTCAAACCAAGACATTTTACATTCTAATTCTCACTGACCCAGTAAAAATTCCACATGGATATTAAATAATTTATTTTGGAACATTGTGAAAACATTATACACAATCTCTTAAAGTCTAAAGCAAAAACCCATTATATTTTAGACTTATTTGTATGTCACTCAACTTAAAATTTTATCTCACTTCACACAACCCGATACTTTTTTTTTCTTCTTGGCAGTGCTGAGGATCAAACCCAAGGTCTTGTGCACATCACATACCCAGTGTTACTTAACTATGAAGTTATTGTAATGGTCAACAGAACTCCCCCTTTACTACAGCTGGTGCAGCCATGCTTTCGGGCCTGGTTTCCCTCCAAACCTTATCTGAGAAAAGATGTTCTAGCTTCGTTCTGTTGCTGTGATAAAACACTCCGACCAAAAGCACCTTGGGGAGGAGGGAGTTATTTGGTTCACATTTCCAGACCACAGTCCATCACTGAGAGAAGTCAAAGCACCAGTCCAAGGAAGGAGCCTGGAGGCAGGAACCGTGGAGCGGCACTACTTGCTGGCTCCCTCCCTTGCTCGCTCACTCACTCACTCGCTCACGCTCAGCTAGCTTTCTTCTGCAGCCCAGAGCCACCTGCCAAGGGATGGTGCCATCCACAGTGGACTGGGTCCTCCCACATCTGTTAATAAGCAAGGCAATCCCCTACAGACATTCCCACAAGCCAGTCTGATCCAGGGAATTCCCCAATCAAGTTAAAACTGACTAGTGCATCCCAGATGTGCTCTCCAGGACTCCACAAAACTATCAGTCTCTCTACAGTGTTGGGTTTGTGTCCTGGGACCTTTTGGCCTCTCCAAGCAGCCTGGTTTCCTGTTTACTCATCCTGTTTCCTTCTTCCCTAGGTGAGTACAGCCACCTGGGGACGAGCCTGCGCCAGGTAGCCATAGAGCCCATGCCCTCCCTCCTGGATGTCAGACAGCTCATCACACTATACGGAATCTTGCCATTAGGTAAGGACTAGCCATTTCCACAAGCTGGGGCTGCACCCTACTTCTGGCTTTGACAGTATTTCCGGTCTGTCCCCAAAAGCCCTTTGCAGCTTAACTTTCCCACCTGGGAATGTGAGGGAGCCTTGTCTAACTTCTGTGGTGTGTGCCCAGCAGAGAAGCGTGCATCAGGAAGAGGGCTTCTCTGCCAACTTTGGATCTGGTCTGCACCCCTGCAATCAGCTAGAGAGAGGTGACCAGAGTGAGCCTCAGCTGGTTAGTTAGCTGAGGAGAAGGTCATGTCCCTTCATGCATCAGCTTCTGTGGCTGGGTCCTAAGTGAGAGGATGCCTCTCTTGACCTGGAGGGTCTTTCTGTGTCCCCAGCCTGTCTCTAAAGCTCTGCTGGTGTCCCCTGAAGTTCCTTCTCGCTATTGAAGGAGGTTCCACTGTATTTTTTCAGACAGAGCCCTGGGGTGTGCCCGGGGATGCAGGAAAGGGGGCTCCTCAGATGGTGTATGGTCCTCAGATGGCGTATGGTCCTCAGATGGCATATGGTCCTCAGATGGCGTATGGTCCTCAGATGGCGTATGCTCCTCAGATGGCGTATGGTCCTCAGATGCTGTATGGGCCTCAGATGCTGTATGGGCCTCAGATGGTGTATGGTCCTCAGATGGTGTATGGTCCTCAGATGGCGTATGCTCCTCAGATGGCGTATGCTCCTCAGATGGCGTATGCTCCTCAGATGGCGTATGGTCCTCAGATGCTGTATGGGCCTCAGATGCTGTATGGCCTCAGATGCTATGGCCTCAGATGCTGTATGGGCCTCAGATGGCGTATGGTCCTCAGATGGTGTATGGTCCTCAGATGGTGTATGGTCCTCAGATGGCGTATGGTCCTCAGATGGCGTATGGTCCTCAGATGGCGTATGGTCCTCAGATGGCGTATGGTCCTCAGGTGGTGTATGGTCCTCAGATGGCGTATGGGTGGTTCTTCCCTCTGCCTGCTGACTGGCAGCCAGTTGAGCTCTGCCAGCTTCATCTCCTTTCAAATAAAATGGCATATGTAGGCCTCATAACTAATAACTCTGTCCCACTTTGATTTAAGAACTCAAGCCTACTGGCAAGAAACCCTTAAGTCCCCTCTTGACATTATATCACAAGTAGAAAATGAAATTTGGGAGTAGCATGAATATATAGATAAAACATTTTAAATTAAATCATATACAAATATAACTTATTAGGAGGCACATAATTTAGTGTCAACAAAATCAATATGTAATATTCATGGAGTCAACTTAATAAAATAGTTTGTGCCTCATACCTCACCGTCGCATGGCAGAAGGCAGAAACAGGTTTATAGGGAGCTCCAAACGCCCAAAAGTGTGCTGCGTGTGTTATCTCGGACTGCAAGTCATGACTTCCTATTCTTCTCTAAAAGCCTTCCTTCCAAAATGGGCCAGGACCCGTTCCCTCCCCTTGTCATCTTGGACCCCTGCTGTCCCCAGCAGCTGCCAAGCCCTCCAGGCCACAGAACCGGCTGGGGAGCTTGTTCTCTAGAGCTAAGCCTATGTCAGGCATCAGGAATGTAGGCACAAGTCTGTCAGATGAGCTGTGTGCACAGATATGCCTTCAGGTGTTTGATCCGAATCTCACATGTCACATCCAGCTGTAAAAAAGCAATTCGGGGAGACACTGGATGCTCACGTCCTCCCGCTGAGCAGCTCTTGAAGCTGCCACAGGCCTCCCCACATTCTTTAGGGAAAATCTCAAATGGAAAGTGATATCCTGTTACAGAAGGAATGCAGCTTGGCGGGGGGGGGGGCAGATTGTTCAGGTCACCTCAGTGGTGGTCACTGGAAGGGGCCCACGTGGGTCACTGTCCATGCAAGGATAGGGGTTGAGGCTCCATGGCCCCCTCAGTGTGTAAGAGAAAACCCAGGACAGGTCCAGCCAAGTCCTAGAAGATCCAGAGAAGACATTGGGGGCACACCGTCCTGAAAAGGTGAGGTTCATAGTCCTAGGAAGGTTCGCTAGTAAGGTTGCTCGCCTTCCAGAGCCCTGCAGGTCTGACAGCATCTCCAGGTAGTGAGGGCTCGGGAGGTACAGAACTGGACTTGAGACCTAGAACACCAGCCCTCTTGTTATCGTGCAGTCCTCCAAACACCAGGCCAGGCTTATGCCCAAAGCCGTCTGCTCCACTCCATTAGAATGCCAGGAAGACTTGCAAATTGCCTGTGAATCTCCGTAGTTCCCTAGGTTGACTGGGCCACCAGTAGAAGGCCTTCTCTGGACTACCGTCTTCACGGCTGAGTGGTCTGAGTGACCCCTCCTCTGCAGGGTGACATCCCACATTCATATCGAACACGTCTTCCCCAAGTCTCCTGCTGTCCCCTCCCTCAGATTTGGTCCTCAGCACCGTCCTCTCCTCCCTCCACACCTTCCAGCAAACTGCTCCGTAGTGCCCCTTCTCCCAGAGTCCGGCCAAGCCCCTTAGCTGGACTTAAATTCTCCACCATCCATGGCCCTTGAGGAGCATCCTTTTCTTCCTGTCATGGGTGCCCCTGCCCAGGGCTCGGCTCCTCTCCCGACCATGAACTCCCTAGACTTTAAATCCATGCTACTTAACCACAGAGGCAGAGGAAAAAGATCAGGAGTTCAAAGCCAGCAACCTAGTGAGTCCTAAGTCAGCTTGGGTGAGACACTGCTCAAATGCTGTTGTCGTTGTCATTGTTGTTGTTGTTGGACATAATAACAGCTGATCCAAAAGCACCCGAGCCACCCAAAATAAATGAACAGGACAGCGTCTGTTTGCTTCACGCTGCTCAGCACTGAATTCTGCATGTCTTGTAATCAGCAAGTACCCACTCTACTCTGCCTGTGTCCCCTGTGCTAGAGAGCACCCCGCCTGAGGTTATGGACAGTGTGGCCAAGGACACCAGGCAGGAGCGATGATAACCCGAGTCCCTTTACCGCCGAGTGTCAGACCAACTATGCTTCTGACAACCGAGGTCCCGCTCTGGAGGAAGAGCTCCAGGCTTTGCCTCGCGGCCTTTTGGCCTTTCCCTCGGTCTCACTCCTTGAGACACAGTAGGAAGGAGACTTCTGGGGAATGAGCACTTTTCAGCTGACCCCGTGGTCTGTGTCTCTGCATTCCATTCTCAACCTGTCAGAGGATTTGATGCAGCTGTTGACAGACAGAGAAACCCCACCACCACCATCACAAAAGTTCTGAGGAAGCTATTGCAGGAATGTGATTTAAAATTATGAGTTGGGGAAGTGCAGAGGAGGGTGGGAAAGAAGCTGGTATCAAGGACCACAGAGGCCCCAGGGTTCCACCACAGCCCTGACCTTCACATCAAAGATGCCTCAGGGCCCACTGGGGCAGAAACTGAGCTGTGGGCTTGACATGACTTCCATGCCTTCATTGCAACAGAAACTGGGGTCACACGATCCAGCGGCAACCTGAGGTACCCTTGCTTTTCCCGGCAGGTCCTTATAGCCTCGGTCTCTGCCTTTTCCAGGGTCCCCAGAGGTGCATGAGAAAGCTCCCCTGGTGAAGTCGCTGCTGTTGGCCGGGCCGAGGGGGGTGGGGAAGAAAATGCTGGTCCACGCCATCTGCACAGAAACGGGGGCCAACCTCTTCAACCTGTCTTCAGAGAACATCGCAGGGAAGTACCCTGGTAAAAGTGGCCTGCAGATGATGCTTCACCTGGTCATGAAGGTACGCAACAGGGCCCTCGGTTTCCAGTCCTCCTCTTTGAAGTGGCACTCCCAGTTCCTCATTTTTCTAGACCAACCAGCATGTCTCCCTTGAGCTTTCCCCATTGCATAGTTGTAAGTTTTTTCCTTATCTCCTCTAACTGAGCATCCCACTGTTAGGAACAGCTTCTCTGGAGGCATAAACACCCTACTGTGCTCTGCAGACCTGCCTCCTGCTGCCACAGGATTCCTTCCCAAAACGCTTGAATGTCTCCTGGAAAATCAAACCCTGTTTTCTTCCCTCAGCTCATCTTGCTCTCGTAATTGGCATTAGAAACTTTCATGGAGGGTTATTCTCGCTCGTGAAGTGTGAATCACTGAGCTACATTACTCTCAGCACTTCCAACGGGTAGGAAGGAAGAGCCTAGGGGGAGCTAAGACTCCTGTTTACAGGAGAGTAAGCATATGAGGATCCCAGGGTCAGAGGACCAAATGTACTTGCCAGTTCTGTGGCCTTAGCTAAGCTCTCAACACACACACACACACACACACACACACACACACACACACACACAGGGCCTGAGTTTTGTCATCACCAAAGTAAATGAATTTTGAAGAACTTTGATTCAGAATCGCTTATATTTAATACGAAAATCTTACAAGATGCAATTTCTATTTGGCTGAGGACCTTGAAGTCGTCCTTCTGGTCAACCCACCTTCAGTCACTAGGACGTCAGCATTGACTATAGAAACCAGTGTAGCTGCAAACACTGCCCTGTGCTTGAGGCCGCACCTGCTTGGTAACAGCAGTATGTGACTTGTCAGGGGAGGGGGGGACTCCCGGGGGGGCTCCCCTCCCATCTACAGTCTACACTTCCTGTAATGGGTCCTCCATCTGATGTGTTCTTGGTTCTTTTATGGGTCCTTCTGCGAAATATCTCCTCAGGTCATTGCATTCTGTGTGTGTGTGTGTGTGTGTGTGTGTGTGTGTGTGTGTGTGTGTGTACTTCTGTGAGAGTGAGCATGCAGGTGTGTGAGGCGTTTTAAGCCAGGAACCCTGCAGAAGCCTCCTCAAGTAGTTCCCAATCAGGCAGGTGGGGCAGAGACCCTGGGGAGCTGGGATCCAGCTGCTCTATCTAGCTCAGGGGCAAACACTTCCCCGGCTACAATGGCCACTTCCCAGGAGACAGCTTCCACTGCCTGGAACCAAGTGGATG